ATGCCCCCCCCCCCCCCCCCCCACAAAGCATTAGTAAGACTTCATGTGGAATATTCACTTCATTTTTGGGCTCCAAAAAAGTTGTTGTGAAATTGTATTATGCAGAGAAGGGCAACGAAACATAGAAGACATGAAGGAGCTCATCTACGAGGCAAGATTAGCTGAAATGAATGTATTCTAAAGAGGAACATGATCTAGGATATAAATGGTCCATATAGTTATACACTTTTTGCAAAGAGCAAAAGGGCACAAGAGGTTTAACCTCAGCATATGGAAAGACTTCTTCACAATAAGAGCTGTGAGCTGAGTTCTAATAAATTTCAAGTATCTTGACTATGAGGCAGCAAACAAATGAAAATGTTAAATTCATATGAATTTCAGGTCAATATAACAACAGGAGCTCAATATGAGCACTTGATGAAGATAAACCATAGTTATACAATAGTTTATAAACTAATACATAAAACAATAACTAAGGGACTACATATACATTCCTGTGTGGTCTCCTGTAGCCCCAGCAATCTAGTGACCTTCCCCAGAACACACAAAGACTCAGCATTGATATTAAAGTGCTTTTTTTATTGTACGACTCAAGTAGTTAGTGGTCACATTACACAGACATGGAGTTGCTTCTTAGTGGTCAGCAGTCATTCCATTATTAGTGCTCATGTTATTTGGTCTTTATCACATGTTAAATAGATAAAACAAAATTAACCTTTTTTGACTCTTAAAATATACATAAAATTCCCCAGTTTTTCTGATCTTTATAAAGGAGTCACACTATGTTGCAGACACCTACGGGTATCTTTGAGGGTCTCCTAGAGCACCCTAGTGGCCTTGAGGGATAACTTCAACACTGTCCTATAGCGGTAAGGGCTGGCTCCCTTCCACATCCTTCTACTGGTCGGTATGACTGCCAATCATGTTGATCTGTCATTAGGAAGGGTCAGGAGGGACGGTTCAGCCCTCCATACTTCAGCAAAGTGTTGATATTTGCATATTAGAGAACAAGGGGATTCAGGACTCTCGGGTGGGACCTTCGAAGGTTTGTGGCTTGCTTATGAAGATTGGGGAATTGACGGATAAGCTTTAAATACTAAAAAAAGGACTTGTTAGTCACTTTGGTCGCAGTAAGTGGTCTCAGTTACATGGAACTTAACAGTATGCATAGTCACAAAAAGGACTGGGCCTATGAGAACGGGCCTTGAATGGGTTTTCCAGCATAAATTAAATATTGAGGCCCCAGTTTGTATATCTCCTGGATTGCAGGCATGATCTTTTTTTCTGCTGTGGAGCAGAGGCTGTGAACATAGTACCCCGTGTGCACCAGTGTCACTGTCGGACTAGTATGACCCTGCCCTGGGTTTCAGCACTTAGCTCTGGGTTTCGGCACTTGGTTCCGGGTTTCGGCACTTAGTTCCGGGTTTCGGCACTTAGCTCCGGGTTTCGGCACTTAGCTCCGGGTCTCGGCACTTAGCTCCGGGTCTCGGCACTTAGTTGCGGGTCTCGGCACTTAGCTGCGGGTCTCGGCACTTAGCTGCGGGTTTCGGCCCTTAGCTGCGGGTCTCGGCACTTAGCTCCGGGTCTCGGCACTTAGCTCCGGGTTTCGGCACTTAGCTCCGGGTTTCGGCACTTAGCTCCGGGTTTTGACACTTAGCCAATTTGTTTGGGAACTGACAGATATCTAAAAACCCAGACGGCCATTAGCATTAAAACCTACACATTTATGGCATTACGGTACAGTAAAGTGTAAGAATAAGAAAAATCACCTTCAGAATAACGCAAATAAGAACTCACCAAAAGTACACAGAAATGTCCCTTTAAAGGAGCTGTAAAGTCCCAGCATATCCTCTTCTGTTATAATGTCACCCTTGTAATAGGAATACAGACTGGATTTGTTTTTCATAATACAATCAAAGCTTACTTGTAAAATCCCTTTTATGTAGTGAGTGCTGCCTTCCATCTGCCCATCACTTCCAACAACTTCCTGGATTCCCAGTGTACTTTGCGTCTCTTTCCCTGCTGCTTGATGTGATGCAATCTCCATTTCCCAAGACTACATAACCCATCATGCATTGCTTCCAGCAAGCAATTATAATGTTGCATTGTCCAGATGTTGAGTTGTAGTTCAGACGGCAGGCTGGTGACACCAGGAAGTGCACATTCACAGGGCTGAGTGACATTGTGTCAGTACATTGGGGAAGTCCATCCTATGGGCATCTTCAATAAATACGTTTACAAACTTCCAGATGGATCTGGTTATTAGGAGCAGGATAGAACTTATGGAAATTCAATATAGAAATACATTCCACCACAGATACCCTTTACCTATCTAATGATATCACCTGATGTGGCTGCAGACCAAACCTGGCGATGGATTTCAGGGAAGATCCATTGAATAGTTTAGAAAACTTCAGTTACTATTGGTTGCCTTGAAATAAGTATTATTGAAACACGTCTAGGCCTACCTCACCCACCCCTCTCCACGAACACAAACATGATCCGCTACATGTAACAATGGTCACAAAGGGTTCTCATGTGTCACCGGTCAGGTTACCTCATCGGGTTTCACGGGGAGGTGGTGCTCTAGTGAACATATAGTCGCAGTTCTTGGCTCTAGCAAGACAGGAGACATGGGGGGGGGACACATATGACATTAAATGTTCAAAGTGCAAAATATGAATTTGTGCTGGAAAACCCAAAAGGGGAAAACGGAATTAAACAAATCTCGAGTGCACGCGAAGGCTGATATTTTTGGTTACTAAGCCGCATCGAGCAGCAGCTCAGAATGTATTTAGTTGGTAATGATATTTACATATTTGTACAAGGTGTTGGTGTATACCATGCAGAGAACAATGACGGGGTGCAACTCTGCCATCGTAAACCCTAGCAGCCAATCAGGGATCGTATCCTAATTGTTGTCAACGGAAATCAGCTGCTATGGATCACTGCCCTTTGCATGTCATCATTGATACCCCAAATGGAGTTGTCCTTTGTCTTTGTTCTTGTGGCGGCGGTGATCCACACAAGCGCTCCTCAAATGAGCAAACTGGTGGAAAGTTCAAAGGAGGTGTGGCCTTCAACCACCAATCAGATTGCAGCTGATGTTTTCCTATTACAGGTTATATAATGATATATGGTATGTGATTGGAGAGGCGCCATTCTTTCCCTGTAGGTCAGACGGTGTCTTGCCCACCTCTGATTCCGTCCAATGGTTTCCTGGTCAATCTTTGAAATGTCATAGGCAGCAAAAGTCTTCATTCTCTTGCAGCCTCTAAATCTCCTGACCCGGAGAGCCAAGCTGAGCACGGCCACGCATTGTACAGCTCTGGGATGAGGGGGAGGTGTTGTGTATTCTAAACTCAGGCAAAGATAAGCTGAGCGAGACGAGGAGCATTGCCGCAATGCCGAGTGTAGTAGTTCATAACAAGCAATCATGTGACCAAATGCCTAGGCTTTCAGTGAAGTGAATGGCACTGGAGGGAATCTGAAGCAGCATCTTCTCCTGGAAAGGTAAGTATCTAAGCCCTTCTATGTACTCTTTACATTCTCATTTCAGCAAGACGGTTAGCAAAGCTTCCACCTGACATTTGGATTGTTATTATGGTTTACTGCACTTTGCATAATCCTAATCCCTCTTTGCATAGATTTATTAAGACTGTTTGGGTATATTTATAAAAATTCACAAAGCCATTCACCCTGCAAATCTCTATGTGTGAAAAGAGGCAAAAACAAACGTTTTTATTTCCAGGTCGAATGTACTGTCATGCAATACTGCATTATGGCCACTAGATGGAGGAGCATAGGACAAAAAAATATACTTATCTCCTATGCTCCTCAGCTCCATCTATGGCCTTTATGTGACATTATATTACATCTGACCGGAAAAGTAAATATACTAAGACAATTTGTTTTTGCCTCTATTCGCACAGAATGAACGTTCACAGCGATTCACAGGCGAATGGCTCTGCAAATTGTTTATAAATTGACCCGCAAGGTGTCTGTATGGAGCGCAACAGCCAGAAGCCGGCTTTATTTCTAAGCTGTATTGTAAGTATAGCAGATGTAGTTTGGTTGCTATGTAGAGCGCAGGAGTTTTTCCTCAAATGGCTGGTGTCATAGATGATCACATGTGCTGCACCATGGCAACTGCAATCCAAGATGGATCCCAAGGCCAAGATGGCGCCTCTTTTGGCACCTCTTTACACTGTCAAAGGTGTACAGGACTGCGAGGGCACAGCTTCTGCAGATATAAGGGGGCAGCACGGTATAAGAGTTTGAGCCACGGCCGTCTCTTTAATGAGGCAGCCTGAGCTTGTTGCCTCAGGCGGCATCTCTTTTGGTCACATAGAGGAATTGGGGTCGCGGCAGGCAGAGCAGCATGTTTGTTGTGTAGTGGCTGGCCTGGGTCACTTTGGCCCCTCTGGCCCCTTACTGGTCAGATTGTCCCAGGTTGTTAAAAGCTGGGCAGCGAGATGTGTAAGGGCCGCCTGAGGGGGAATGGTGTCGGTGCACGAGAGTCACGCCACCCTCTGCAGACCTCCAACGCTCTTGTGCGGTGTACCACTCAGCACCTGGCAACCAGTGACATCACTGGTTGTCAGGAGCTGGGTGGGACACCGGACAGAGCGTCATAGGTCTGCATACGGTTGCGTCACTCTCGTGCACCGACACCATTACTCGTCAGGTAGAAAAAAGTCTACAAGGGACACCGCTGGCTTTAGGGAGTCAAACAACTGAAATCCAGGTCTGCACCTGTACGTGGGAGCAAACTAACCGTAAGACACAATGCAGTGTAACCCTAAAGCTGGATGTACTTGCATCACTAGTGCTGGAGCAATCTAGGTGGTAGCTAGGCCTAGTGTACAAGAAGGAAGGTAAATCTGCACTGAGCCCTGCGGTTTATTTGAATGAATTGGAGGATTCTCTTATGTTTTATTAACCAATGATGATCACACTGCAGATTACAATTGCCTCATGGGGTGACGTACGGAGCTGAAGCTCATGGCCTGAAGGTACATGATAACTGGCCCATAGCTATACCCATAGCTCTGGAACTGATTTGTAACGTTCAGTGCTCATACTGAATACATTACATAACCTGAAAAGTTTATGGTTTTAAAAGCGCCAAGGACAATCCTTACCCCTCCTTGGGAAGAAATCGTAAGCACATATGCAAGGTGCAGCCTCAAAAACAGTCAAGGGTACTGGAACATCTAAAAAAGGTACACAAAAGAAGAGGCGCCTTTCCTGGTGCAATATCATTTAATCCAAAAAGACAGGCATAAAGGTGAATTGACAGGTACTCACTATGTTGAAGATAAAAACAAGCCGTTGGACAATATGACCAGAGCAATAAAAAGATCCGGATAGCGTGTCCTGTATAAAGCACTGCTGTGTCGACGCGTTTCCGGGGCACGCCCCCTTCATCAGGACGTAATGCCAGTCTCCTCCCTGCTGTAGCTTAAGAATGGGCTGCTCAGACGTGATAGGGTCAAGTAGTAGAGGCTGATTGGACGGGGGCTGGGGATGTATGGTATCAAAGACGGCAGGCAATAACAACCTTGTGTCTGACACCAAACTCGCGGCCAATCAGAGCTGTTAAAAACCGATAACTATAATGACATAGATCGGATCTACCATGAATACTGGCATATAGCAGCAGTCTGCCCTATGTAAAATCGTATAATCGTAAAATCGATTTTACATAGGGCAGACTGCTGCTATATGCCAGTATTCATGGTAGATCCGATCTATGTCATTATAGTTATCGGTTTTTAACAGCTCTGATTGGCCGCGAGTTTGGTGTCAGACACAAGGTTGTTATTGCCTGCCGTCTTTGATACCATACATCCCCAGCCCCCGTCCAATCAGCCTCTACTACTTGACCCTATCACGTCTGAGCAGCCCATTCTTAAGCTACAGCAGGGAGGAGACTGGCATTACGTCCTGATGAAGGGGGCGTGCCCCGGAAACGCGTCGACACAGCAGTGCTTTATACAGGACACGCTATCCGGATCTTTTTATTGCTCTGGTCATATTGTCCAACGGCTTGTTTTTATCTTCAACATAGTGAGTACCTGTCAATTCACCTTTATGCCTGTCTTTTTGGATTAAATGATATTGCACCAGGAAAGGCGCCTCTTCTTTTGTGTACATTACATAACCTGATATAAGTACACCGGTGATTTAAAAAAAATATAGTATTATATTAGAACCTGGGCGTGGTATGAGAAGGCCTCCATGTCTAGGTACGGAGTGTGTAATAACCCTCTATATTATAATACAGGTGTAATACAAGGAGGATCCAGTCTCTTGTCATATGTCATACATGTAATAATCATGTATACTATAACTGCTGAGCTGGGCCAGGCGTGCTCCAGTCTCCGCCCGGATGGCGTTGCGTTTCGGAAGGTCAGCTGTTTCTCGCTCTTCTCCTCAGGACAAAGTCGAAATTGGCGGAGGTGTTCATGGCGTAGTATACATTGGCCGTGTCCGGGATGGTCAGTTCTGCAGAGCGGGTACAAGGACTGGGAGTCAGATCATAAAACAAGCCAATAAAAGACATGACCACAGACCCAATTCACAACGCTATCACCCGAGGGCAAGGAGATTTATTTCAGCCATGTGACTTTAAATTGGAAATCTTCATATGACCATAGAAAGTGGTTCACCATAAGGTCAGAGACAAATGCCCGACACGCCAGTGGCACCATCAGGAAGGCCTATACAGGGTGTGGGGGTCAAATCTCTTCAAAAGTTGATATGACAAAGATCCACAAACTCCACATCTCTACTCACTGGAAGCAGCCACACATTTTAATACCAGCTCTCTATATTGTGGGAACATTACCCAGTTGTGTACATTAGGTGCCCATAAACCTGATTGAAGTAGTCCGGGTATATGAAGCAGCAGGGGCGTAACTAGAAATCACAGGGCCCCATAGCAAAAAATCTTGTATGGGGCCCTGTGATTCCTACTTACGCTCCTTGCAGAGCCCACCTGAGATCCCACACAGCCCACCTGAGAGTGACCGTCACTAAGCCCTGCCGCCTCCTCCTCCACTGCCGACGCCGGCCCCCCACCTCCTCCTGCGCTGCCGACACCGAGCCCAGCCTCCTTCACCTCCGTTGCTGGCTGTCACTGACTTGGGAACGCGCCGCTGCACAGATCACTGACAGGTTGTTCCTCCTCACAGCCGCAAGTGACAGCCAGCAGCCTGCGATGCCATATCGACCCAGGCGGCCCACACGGCATCAGGGGGATGTTCTGGCCGGGCCCCCCTGTGCCCCAGGCCCCATTGCGGCTGCCTGGGTCACCATGGTGATTGTTCCACCACTGTGTGGCAGGCCCTGTCCTTCTGCGCTGCTGCTTCAACCCCCCTCCCTGTATCTGCCAGCAGATCCCAGGCTGTCAAAATGTTGCTCTGTAAATACAGCTGCCATTCTGAACTGCCGATTTCCATAAATGAGCCTCGTGACACAGTGTTTATAAAGATGCTTTGTACCGGAAACATACTTATAGGGGTCTATTCATAAACTATCCACAGGGCAAACGGGGTTTATGAATAGACCCCTATAAGTATGAAGTACAATGTACCCCTATAAGTATGAATCTGGTACAAAGCCCTGTGAATATCTAATAACATATGTGCCGATATATACCAAAACAAACATTCTTCAGTTGTTTCTTTACAAGGAAGGTACTTTTTCCATGCAATACCAAATTGTGGCCACTAGATGGTGCTGAGGAGCCTAGAATATATATACTTCCTACGCTGCTTTAGTGGACATAATGTGATATTACCTGAAAACATTTGAATATTAATTGCACTTGTAAAGAAAATAACTAGAGAACATTCGTTTTGACATATATTTGCAAATGTTCACAGATATTTCCAGCTGTGCTTTAACTACAGATCCCAACACGCCTCTGCCCCTGGGAGTCATGCCTGTAACTGTCAGTCTTGCAATGCCTCATGGGACTTGTAGTTCCACAACAGCTGGGGGGTTGGAGTTGCCCACCCCTGCCATAGGCCCATAGCAGAATTGTAAAACTTGCTTTTGTGAATACAGGGTGTACAGGGGTGAGGACAATATACAACACAAAATACAACGCTCGTCTTCAGGACTTCTCTAGAGTCTCTCCCATCCTCTGGAACTCTTTGCCCCAAACTGTCCGACTATCTCCCACTATCCCACCTCAAACTAACCACTGAAATATCACGTTCTCAAATAATTCATCCCCACACAGCTACCTCCTCATGTATCACTTGCCCCTCCTTTTAGATTAGAGGCCCTCAGGGGCAGGGCCCTCCTTACCATCTTGTCTTGAATTGTATTGTGATTGTAATGTCAGCCTTTTATTGTAAAGCGCTGCGCAAACTGTTGGCGCTATATAAATCCTGAATAATAATAATAACACATGCCCTTTTTTTCTGCGCTGTGAGGCCCATAGAAGTCTATGGCAATGCATCAAAACACATCTAATCTGCGTTTCGAAGCGCAGGCAACCTGTAACAAGGAGCCTTGGTCAATGGCTGTTGACTTTATCCACTCCAAATCCTAAATTAAAAAATGAACTGGAAACATACATCAGCGCACCTCTACAATGCATGTCAACACACAAGGAAATACAGGTTGATGCGTTACAACGCACCTGCCTAATGCTACACAAATAGACAAAACGCACCACTGCACACACATATAGAGCTACAGGGGCTCACAATCTGCTTTAGCTAACAAAACAAGATGGAAAAGGGAAAAAAGAAATCAGGAAGTTGTACAGCTAGGAGGAGGATGACTGATGACAATATAGATATTATTATTTGTGCTTATGTAGAGCCCGTTGTATGACCACCCGAGACTTGTCCTGACTGGTGAGCTGAAGAGGAACAATAAATGATTAATAATATAAATATATTGACATTTTATGTATTATTTATATACAGGGCTCGAAAAATTTTAGGGTGTCTCACCAGTCAGTCAAAAATTCCACCAGTCAGCAAGAACGGACTATAGCCATGCAATTTATGTTAACATTTTTTAGGGACAGATAGAGCTTTCTTTTGGTGGTATATAATCAGCACTGGGGGGGGGGGGGGGTTATTTTTTACTATAGAATGAAGAAAAAAACTTAAATTTTTTTGGGAAAAAATGTTTCCCTCCGTTATGTTAAAAAACATTTATTCCGCCCACAAAATCGCAAACAACGACCACACCCAAAATTGTCCATAGGCGACGCTTTAAACGCTTTTACTGCTCATTAGTTTAGTGTTATCAGTGATTAATGGCCCTAAAATTATTGCTCACACTCCGACGTTCGCGGTGATATGTAACATGTGTGGCGCGATAGGCGCAATCGTTGTTTTCACATGTAGGCGCGCCTGACGCATGTTTGCGTGTGTATGTGGGGGGTGGGAGATTTATTAAAAAAATGGTGTTTATTTTTTTTATGCTTCTTTCATTTTTTTATTACTGTTTTCTTTTTTTTTTATACACTTAACTTTATTGCTATCACATAGGGGGATAAGAAGCTCCCTATGTGATAGCCAATTTACATGGCCAAGACCCCTAATGTCACCTAGGGACCCCCAGAAAAGCTGATGAAGCAGAGATCTGCTTCAACAGCTTCTGTAGCTGGGGATGACAGCTGAATGTGGAAGTGATGTAATATACATCACTTCCTGCATTCGGGGACCGGAGAGGAGATCATCAATGCCAAGATTTATTTTTATATTATTTGTAGCTGAGGATTTTGCCCTTTGCAGTAAGCATGGTTCAGAAAGTGATGGGGCAAAGGCCAACCATACGCTTGGTTACTTTCAGGCGACTTTGGACCAACCGTGAATTGAACATTCGATCAAAGTAGCCTGGATCCCAGCAGCAGGCCACCAATTAGCAGGGCTGGGCTGAGGGGTAGGCAGAAGAGGAGACCGCCTTGGACTGGGTCAGCAGAGCCTGCACCCTATGCTGCTAAGGTAGTTCACATTTCATGGCGAGGGGCACACTTTGGTCTTTTGGCCTTGTCTCAGAACTGCACATGGGTTTGATCTATCACCTGAATTGGATGGATCGCACTGGGCTATAAACTGACACCTTCAATACAGGTTATCAAAATCGGAAAAAAAGGTGACAACTTCCTCGCAAGCAATCAGGTTCTCCTGCCGGGCTTGATCGAGGCAATTTCTGTGCCATCTCCATGCAGTTGATGGAAACCTCTAAGTTCCATATTCAATCACTCGGAGTTTCAGCTTCAGCTGGGTAGAAAGTGGTTGAAATTGGCGGAAAGCTTGCATCTGTGTGTCCATCTTTAGAATGTGCCGCTTTGGATGTGGGAAAGTCTAAGCTCACCTCTATGTATGTAATATTTTCTTGGTTCTAACTGCAGGCCATGTACAGTGCAGCTCACTCAGGAAAGAAGAGGCATACGCAGGGATGTCTGATGGCTTTGTTTTACCAAAAAGGACAGCCGATTAAGAAAATGCAAATAAAAAAATGGGAATGAATGAGTTCGGGGTGATTTATAAAATGTAAGCACAGAGAACGTGAAGAAGATTCACTACACATTATGGCCAATAGTTGGAGCCGTGGAGCATAAGAAATTCCTCTGCTCCTCGGCTCCATCTAGTGGCCATAATAAATTGTGACTGTCATTCCCATAGCTGTTCTCCATGCAAACGGTTTATAAATCACGCCCTTACTGTTGGCCTCGGGCTTGCGTGTAGTTCTTCTTACCAGTATACTCTTGTACAAATTCCCATGCGTGTTCTCCATGCTGACCCGGATAATACACAGGTCAGCGATTTGCTGGTTGTAGACCGGGAGTGATGGGGAGACTGGGGAACGGGGTGAAGAGACAGATCGGTGAGCTTCTTCTCGTCCCGGAGTGATGGGCGGAGTCAGAGCTTCCTGTGTGCTTCCTCTGTCCTGTAACAATCAAAACGCAATGATAGAACAGTGACACAAGGTTAGCCGCCATATACAGAATGACATCACAGATACCCAGTTCCTGAGTTCCATACCATACGCACTCACCTTATTGGTGGCCGTCTCTGTAGGACACAAAGCCGCTATAAGCCCTTCATCGATCTCACAGCTGCTGCAGGATCCTGACGGAGACACTCGATCCCCATTCATCTTAGGGCTAAACACTTCAGAACCTAGTAACAAGCTGTGCGGAAAAGAGAAGACGTGCATAACAAGGGATTCATAAAACAGCCGCACAATTCAGGACGGCAGATAAGGGGGTGAGTGGGCCCAGTGAGCGGACGGGACATAAGGGGGTTAGTGGGCCCAGTGAGCGGACGGGACATAAGGGGGTTAGTGGGCCCAGTGAGATGACAGGAGCTAAAAGGGTGAGTGGGCCCAGTGAGAGGACGAGGCGTAAGAGGGTATGTGGGCCCAGTGAGAGAACGGATATAAGAGGGTATGTGGGCCCAGTGAGAGAACGATATAAGGGGGTAAGTGGGCCAGTGAGAGTACGGGACATAAGGGGGTAAGTGGGCCCAGTGAGAGGACGGGACATGAGGTGAGTGGACCCAGTGAGAGGACGGGACATAAGGGGGTGAGTGGGCCCAGTGAGAGGACGGGACATAAGAGGGTGAGTGGGCCCAGTGAGAGGGCGGGACATAAGAGGGTGAGTGGGCCCAGTGAGAGTCCAGTTTGTGGCTCAGACGAGCAAATGCTTAGCTAATGCTTGTTGTATAAAACCAACCCATCTGAAGGAGTGCAGGACGAACCTGCTTGGACTGTTCCTGGGTGTCCCTGTCTCCTTCATGATATATATACACACATGTAACACACACACACACACACACATGTAACACACATGGACACATAACACATGATATACATACATACACACACACACACACACACACACACACACACACACACACACACACACACAGAGAGAGAACTTACGAGCTGAACCTCTTGGTCAGTTTCCTGCGGATACGCGGAGAGTTGGGACAGGAATCCGCGGGTGGCTCTATAGTGCGAGAAATTCTGTAGCTGTGCAGGGAGCAAAAATGGTGAGAAAATTCCCCCTCACATCATGAAAACACTTTTATATGATTGTTTTATTTATTACAATGTACAGTGACCGCACTCTTCTATGATGCTCAGTCTGACCACACTCTTCTATAATGCTCAGTGTGACCGCACTTTTCTGTAATGCTCAGTGTGACCGCACTTTCTATGATGCTCAGTGTGACCGCACTTTTCTATAATGCTCAGTGTGACCGCACTTTTCTATCATGCTCAGTGTGACCGCACTTTTCTATAATGCTCAGTGTGACCGCACTTTTCTATAATGCTCAGTGTGACAGCACTTTCTATGATGCTCAGTGTGACCGCACTCTTCTATGCTGCTCAGTGTGACCGCACTTTTCTATGATGCTCAGTGTGACCGCACTTTTCTATGATGCTCAGTGTGACCACACTTTTCTATGATGCTCAGTGTGACCGCACTTTTCTATGATGCTCAGTGTGACCGCACTCTTCTATGATGCTCAGTGTGACCGCACTTTTCTATGATGCTCAGTGTGACCACACTTCTCCATCTTTCCTTTCTCTAGCACTGCACATACCGTACCTGGGAGATAACAGATTCCGCAGCAAAGCATTATGAGTGATAATGTCAAATGAAAGTCAGAAATGATCCTTTTAGATTTGGATAGAGCGGGGAGGGGATAGAGAATCTATTAGAGATAGAGATGCACCGATACATCGGCAAAATGCCCGAAAGTGCCATTTTTCTGCCGATACAGCGGGCGCATCCGTTCTTTCTCTGTATAAAAATAAAAATTTTTTTTTTTTTAAAGTTATGAAAAAAACATTTTCGGTTTCGGCCCGACATTTTTTTTCATTTCAGTTTTAAAATTTCGGTGCACCTCTAGATAGAGAGGAGTTACAATCACCCTCAGCTTCTCATAGCTCATGTATGGAAGTCTCTGTCTGTATGATGAGGGCCAGGTCAGGAATAAGGGGTAGATTTCCTCACTTTAATGTCTATCTGACAGATATAAAACACAACAGGAAGTTAGTAAAAAATCTCTCTGCTTCCTGTCTATTTGACCGGCATAAGAAAGAACACGAAATTAGGGAAATAATCTCTCTACTTCCTGTCTGTTTGACGGCTCCCCGACACAGGAGGATTTGTCCCCTTCATGCTGAATTTCGGGGTGTCAGGCAGAACAGGAAGTGAAGGGATACCTCCAATGGGGACACAGAGAGCAGAGATTGTTTAAGGCAGAACTCCGGGCTCAGAAAGTTTGGAAGGATATGACGTTTTTGGGTCTCCTCACCTTTGATCGTCGGTCAGCTGTCGGTGGGTGTAAAACGCTTGGAGGATTTCAGGCTTTGGCGTCAGGACAAAGTGGCGACAGGTAAGCTGCAACTTCTGAATCTTGGCCAGGACTTCGTATTCCTAGTAAGGCAAGAGTGTCAGCTCTTGGGGCGAGGCTGCTGCAGGCACCCCCCTGCTAGTGTGAACGTGTCTATTTTCTGCGCACTCACCTTTCTCCTCTTCTCAAAGTTTAGGAGCCCGCCCTGTGAGGTGACAGGAGGAACGCATGTTATAAAGGTGCAGGGTATGGTCAGACGTTATAAAAGTGTATCACACATTGCGCCTCACCAGACTATAGACGTGGCGGCTGCATTCGTTTTCTTTATTGGTACCTGGTGATCCTGCCGATAACACACTTCCTGTCCTGGGTGACAACGCTCACTGCACTCTATCTATGGATTAGCAGTAGGGATGCACCGATACCGATACTAGTTGGGCGAGCACTCCGATGCCTAGCCTGACCCTGAATCACGTGAAGCCAGCTTCCCGACCAATCAGGAATCCGGGCAGCGCGTCATTACACAATTGGCCCGGGAAGCCGGCTCCATGCAAGTGACGAGAGAGCATGGAGCCGGCGCAGCGTGTAATGACGTGGCGCCCGGCTTTCTGATTGGTCGGGAAGATGGCTTCATGCTCCGTAGTCACCTCATGACGAGGGAGCATGGAACCGGCTTCCCAGCCAACCAGGAAACCGGGCGCCGCATCATTACACTGCGCCAGGCTTCCTGATTGGTCAGAAAGCCAGCTCCATGCTTTCTCATCACCTAGTGACGAGAAGCATGGGGACGGCTTCCCTGCTAATCGGGAAGACGGATGGCGAGTCATTACACGCCGCCTGGCTTCCTGAATGGGACTTCCGATACTCGGTATCGGCAAGTGCCGGAAAAAAAATATTGGTACTCGATACCGAAATACCGCTATCAGTGCATCCCTAATGAGCTGTGTTGTCAGCCAAGAACAGGAAGCGTGTTAGACTACAGAACACTTCCCCCTCTCCTCTTCTCCAAAACATAAGGTGGAGGGGGATGTTCTGTAGCAAGTCACAAGATGAGAGGCTGCAGCAGGGGCTGACCTGTGTCAGACATTGCTGAACGCAGCCTAGAACTGCAGAGGCACCAAGATTTATTTTACATGCTTTAAGCCGCCATCCGAGTCCAAGATGGTGACCCTGGATGATGCCTGAACACAGATGGTGCTGTCCTTCTTGAGAAAGAAGCAGTTGAAGGTAAGAGGAGTACTGGGATCTCTTGCTGACCATTCAAACCATTTTGTTATTATGAGATAAGTGGCATTAACTATGATATAAATTAAGACAGAGAGAAGAAAGGAGGCTCACCTCTACGTAGTCCGGGAGCGCCGTGTCCAACATGACAAGGTCTGTCAAAAATGTTCCGAGATAAGGCACCGTCCCCTGAGCTGGTCTCTGAAATAAGAAGGGGTGTCAGGTTTTGGCTGATTGTTTCCTGTAGGAGGTAAGGGGGCGATGTTGTCTCAGGTAATGTCCACTAGAGGTCACCATGATACAAGGCCTCACCTTCCCTTCATCTCCTATGGACACTGGATAAGCAGAGACATGATCTGGACTGTCAGCTCCACCTAGTGGCCATGATGGGGTATTTTCCACATATGAATCTAATGAATGAATTACATTCAACCTTCCGGGGAAATATCATCATAATAATATTTGTTTTTGCTCCATTCACACAGAACGAATGTACATGCATTGTGACAGGACGGAGGCTCTGCTAATTGTTTATAATGACAACCTTGTGTGTGTGTCTCTCTTTCTATTCCCTTCTCTCTCTCTACCCACCCTCTCTCTGTCTATCTCTCCCCCTCTCTCTCTCTTTCTCCTCTCTCCCTCTCTCTCTTTCTCTTCCCCCCTCTCTCTTTCTCCTCTCTATCTCTCTCTCTTCCCCTCTCTCTCCCTCTCCCCCCTCTCTCTATTTCTCCTCTCTCTTTCTCTCCTCTCTCTCTCTCTTTCCCTTCCCCCTCTCTCTTTCTCCTCTCCCTCTATCTCTCTCTTTCTCTTCCCCCCTCTCTCTTTCTCCTCTCCCTCTATCTCTCTCTTTCTCTTCCCCCCTCTCTCTTTCTCCTCTCCCTCTATCTCTCTCTTTCTCTTCCCCCCTCTCTCTTTCTCCTCTCTCTCTATCTCTCTCTATCTCTCTCTTTCTCTTCCCCCTCTCTCTATTTCTCCTCTCTCTATCTCTCTTTCTCTTCCCCCCTCTCTCTATTTCTCCTCTCTTACACATTACAGTATTGGTTTATGTTAAAAAATCTGAGGGTTTAATGTCACTTCAAGTAAAAAAAAATTATAAACTAAAAATTGATTGAAAAAAAAGTAAAAAATAATAACATAAATAAAAAATGTTTACAAAAATGAGCAAAAATGGTTGGCGGGGAGGGGGGCGCATTGAGGAACCTGGCCTTGAGAGAGTAAATCCGGCCCTGCCTGTGGCTGTCAGTCTTGCAATGCCTCATGGGACTTGTAGTGCAACAGCTGAGGTTGCCTAACAGAACCCCCAGATCCTCCTCGATTATTGGCTCCCCCAGTTATACTCCCCCTCCCATGTCTGATGCATTGATAGTTCCAATAACGTACAATATAAATGGTTCATAAACGCAGATCTCTGTTTTCAGGGACACATGTCTGGGGTCAACCCTGGTACAAAACGGGGCCCGTTCCTGGTTATCGGGGACTCCTGGTAAGGCTCCCCTGGTGCACACAGTGGCCTTTCATTATGACATTTCTGGTGCTCAACGTTCTCTCACTAAACCGTCATCGGCGTGAGCTGAAGGTTGATTTGCATAGAGGAAAATACAGTGTAAATACACCGCGATCCATATCCTGGAGAACATTGTCTGCAGACAGGAGGAAGAAAGTGCTGAATGCACACCGCGGTGTCATGCTGACAGGACTGAACTGGGAATCCTCCCCTTTGTTATATTATAAATATACAGGGTGTATGAAAATGATTCAATGAAACGCCCATTCACAGTGCATTTGGATTGTTCTATTAGACCCTCGATGTGATGCAATGTCAAATTCTCAAGACTACATGTCCCAGCATGCATTGCTTCCAGTGATGTACAAAGCATTAGTAAGACCTCATCTGGAATATTCAGTTCAGTTTTGGGCACCCATTCACAAAAAGGATGTTGTGGAACTGGAGAAAGTGCAGCGAAGGGCGACCAAACTCATAAGAGGCCTGAAGGAGCTCAGCTATGAGGAACGATTAGCTGACCTGAATGTGTTCTCTCTGGAGAAGAGGCGATTAACCCCTTCATATCCTCATAGTTCTAGCCGACCTGTGACAATGAGACTGTCACAGGTCGGCTCAGTAGATCGGGAAGTGAGCGAACACATACCGGCGTTCGCTCACCTCTCGATCCTGTCACGGCTCGATTCCCCTCCCCCCGCTCTGATCCGCCAGTGCTGACTGGTGGAACGGACGGGGGAGGGGGCGGATACAGCTGTAGCTCGCGGTATACTGAGCTTAGGGTAACGGGAGGACGCTAGTTTGTGTCCTCCCGTTACCCTAAGGAGAACTATGGGGAAAAGCCCTGACCCCATAGTTCTCCTTTAAGGTGGGACATGATCACCATGTATAAATACATAAATGGTCCATATAAAGAGGTTGGTGCCAAATTATTCACGTTAAGGTCACTGCAAAGGACAAGGGGGCATTTTTTTGCGTCTGGAGGAAAAGAGGTTTAACCTTTGCATACGGAAATGATTCTTCACAGTTAGAGCTGTGACAATGTGGAATGGGCTCCCCCAGGAACTAGTTCTAGCTAGATCAGTTCATTGTTTAAAAAAATATCTGGATGTATTCCTAAATGCACAGCATATTACTGGATATTGAGTTCTTAGAGGTATATTAAGCATCAGAGATTGTTGATCCCGGGAATATCCGATTGCCTTATGGGATCAGGAAGGAATTTTTTTCCCCTGTTGGAGCAAATTGAACCATGCTTTATAGGGTTTTTTTGCCTTCCTCTGGATCAACAGGGGGTAGCTGTGGTCATAGCTTTCTGCTTAGGTTTTCTTCTTTTTTTTTCATATCTCTGTAGGTTGAACTCGATGGACATGTGTCTTTTTTCAACCTGACTAACTATGTAACTATGATGTTACATTGTTCAGACGCTGAGTTGTAGCTCAGAAGGCAAGCTCTATGAGAGTGGGGACACCAGGAAGTGCATATTCACAGCGCTGAGTGAAATGGCCTCAGTGCATTGAGTAAGTCATTGGGTTGTGTCCCAAGGCCAAAGACAGCCCCATAGATCTCCATGGGGTTGTGTCCCAAGGCCAAAGACAATCCCATAGATCTCCATGGGGTTGTGTCCCAAGGCCAAAGACAGTCCCATAGATCTTCATGGGGTTGTGTCCCAAGGCCAAAGACAGTCCCATAGATCTCCATTGGGTTGTGTCTCGAGGCCAAAGACAGTCCCATAGATCTCCATGGGATTGTGTCCCGAGGCCAAAGACAGTCCCATAGATCTCCATTGGGTTGTGTCCCAAGGTCAAAGACAGTCCCATAGATCTCCATTGGGTTGTGTCCCGAGGCCAAAGACAGTCCCATAGATCTCCATGGGGTTGTGTCCCGAGGCCAAAGACAGTCCCATAGATCTCCAAGGGGTTGTGTCCCGAGGCCAAAGATGGTCCCCTATTTCTCTATGTGGCTGCAATACACAGGCATGGCTAGGACAGTGAAGACTTGCAGCACTGGATGTAAACCAACCCCAAGGGGTTGCGGCCATTGGATCAGGGTAATTATGCATCCGTGGATGGTGGGTTGGGTTAGCTCAGGGTAAAGGGGCTTGTTTTAAAGTGCACGTCTCCTTTACAAAAAATCACAACTTCAACATTTCTTATTTAATTTTGGAACAAGCAGGAAAAGGTTAAAGCAGTGTATTAACATGTGCATTACTGCAAGGTGAAAGTGTGTCTCACCCCTATATACATTCTGGCCCTTGCTTAAGTAAACAGCCCGCGGCTAATGAATAGCAGGGGGCTGAACCTGACAGATTTGGGGAGATAAATGTGATGATGGAGCTTCGGGGGATCACTTTCTGGCAGTTTCCTGAGACGACACACTTTAGCGCCTGCTCTTACGGGGTTAATATTGCCGGTTGGTCTCAGTTACTCATTTCCATGTCACAGTAGACTGGAATGGCAGTCATCCATGGAAGAGCTCTGTCAGTTCCCATGCTTACCGTGGAGCGAACTTGTGACGCTGACCGCTGGAGTGGGCGGGGCTCGTTGCGTGCACTGTGCGTCCTACGGAGCGGGATCTCATCCTGCGGACATGAAGACAAGTGTCACTGAGGTTGTTCTCTGTAGCAAAAACATATTTTTCCCCCCCTTGCACACCGTCCTGGTACCCCCAGGTCAGGAGAAATGGAAATGTTTCTTTTCAGTATGTAAATGTGCATACAGCGTGAATGTAGTCTATTGGCCGTCACATGTCAACATCAATAATGTGTAGCCAACACGGTGCCTGCGCCACGGATTACACGCTACTGAAGGATTACATGTCGGTCCTGAATGGGTAATTATGCACACAATGAGCGACATTCAGTCATTTGTGAATTCACGAATGACTGGCCGACACCATTCTGAACATGCGCAGCCACCGATGAATTACTCGTTCAATGTCGACATGCGTCCATTGTTGCTAGGATGCAGGCAGTTCCTACTTGAGCCACCATGCAGTTTGGCAATCAATAGGGCACATCTGCGCAACACAGTGTACGCATGTAAACATTACGCAAATGTCTACATGTGTCTACAGTGTCTACAGTGTCAGTAACCCTGAAATGTAATTTAATTTAAGTAATGTAATACTGCATTATGGCCACTAGATGGAGCTGAGGAGCCTAGGAGAGCAATACCTATTTCCAATGTTCCTCAGCTCCATCTAGTGGCCATAATGGAGTAATACATTACATTACATTCAACCTGAAAAGAAAGTACACTAAGAACGTTCGGTTTTGCCTCTATTCACACAGAACAAACATTCGAAGAGATTCACAGGGCAAGCTACCGGACAAAGTCTACACAAGAGCTTCCACTCAGGGCTGCATCGGTGGTCAGGGCAGTAGGGGTGGCTATGATGACACCTTGTCACTCGGCCCTCAATGGGCAACCCAACCCGCGATCCTATAACTAAACCTCAAAGTGACCATTATATAGGCAAATCTATGGTATTGAAGAAGAACATTTAGACGCTGACATACAATGTAGGAAATTCTCAGCACGAGATCACCCATGATGGATTGTCCAAGCTTTTGACCTTTTTCACGGTTCTGACCCAAAAGTCTTGGCTGGAAGTACCCTCGAGGATGCCGTTAGTACATAAAGGATGCCTAGTATACCTTAGTCAAGATTTCCCGACTCATCTCGTGGTTGTTCTCATCGGAGAAGATGGCGGATAACTTGTGGAAGATGTTCAGGTTGTCCCTGGGAAGACAGGAGGGGCAGTTTTAGGTGTGGAGAGTATTATCTCCCGAGAGATTCATACAGAAGGGTTTTCAATGTGGACGTCTGAGATGGACAATTGTCACGTCTGTGACCTAATGTCATTTACCTGCTGACTGCGGCCCACGTCCTCTTCAGCCGATAGATGGAATTTGACTGAAGAGCAGATAGAATGGCTCTCAGAGAGGAGAAATTCCGCAGAAACCTGCAGTACTGAGAGAGAAAGACACCGGTGTAAAGGGTCACTGCTATACTGGACGGACAAACCCTGTCTGTGTCACCCTGTGGTGGGAAGGACAGACTCCATGTAACATAGCTCCTCCTGTCTGTGTCACCCTGTGGTGGGAGGACAGACTCCATGTCACATAGCTCCTCCTGTCTGTGTCACCCTGTGGTGGGAGGGACAGACTCCATGTCACATAGCACCCCCTGTCTGTGTCACCCTGTGGTGGGAGGGACAGACCCCATGTCACATGGTTCCTCCTGTCTGTGTCACCCTGTAGTGGGAGGGACAGACTACACACCTGGGCTATGCAAATCCATTTCTCCAGCACTTTCGCCCTGACTTGGGGTTTCAGCTGAATGTCGCTCAGGACGGACGCCGTCACACACGCGGTCACCGCATTAAACTGGGCGACTGTGGCTCTTACACTGGGGGCCACATTCTTGTTCTCCTTTTTGTCACGTTGGGACCAAATGCTTCCCAGACAATGGCAGGACTGCAGCCTCTGAAAGAGATCCTACCGGAGACAGGAGCAAGATGGAGAAATATCATTAAATGGCAACTCCGCATAAACAAACAGTCTTTTACATGGCAGAATTACACAGAATACACTGCAGCTGTACTAATGTCACAGAATCCAGACAATCCGCTCTGATACCATTTATATATAATTTCCTTGGGATGCTAAAAACATTTCTGCACCTCAGAGCTGTTTATAGTATGTCAGAGTTAGCTTTTTTGTTTGTTTTCAGAAGATGATGCTGAGAGTGTCTATGCTAGAACAATACAGGGCAGAGCCACAAGAACAGAGACCCGAGCTGCTGAGAGTGTCTATGGCATAATGATACAGGGCAGAGACACAAGAACAGAGACCTGAGCTGCTGAGAGTGTCTATGACATAATGATACAGGGCAGAGCCACAAGAACAGAGACCCGAGCTGCTGAGAGTGTCTATGACATAATGATGCAGGGCAGAGCCACAAGAACAGAGACCCGAGCTGCTGAGAGTGTCTATGGCATAATGATACAGGGCAGGGCCACAAGAACAGAGACCCAAGCTGCTGAGAGTGTCTATGGCATAATGATACAGGGCAGAGCCACAAGAACAGAGACCCGAGCTGCTGAGAGTTTCTATGGCATAATGATACAGGGCAGAGCCACAAGAACAGAGACCCGAGATGCTGAGAGTTTCTATGGCATACCAATACAGGGAAGAGCCACACGTACAGAGACCAGAGCTGCTGAGAGAATACAGGGCAGAGCCAGAAGAACAGAGACCAGGCCGCATAGAGGTGTTCCAGACCTCCAAGGTCGAGACTTCTGATTCATAGCCGATAGAACAATGCTGCAGCTGAACAGCTTGGGAGGGGAGCGCCTTTGGTGGAATGACCTCTTGCCTGCCCTTCGGGAGACTGAGAGAGACCAACCTCCATGGTGAGAGACCCATTGGCCACCTGCTTCCATATAACTTTCATTGGGTGCTCCTGCACATGAACCAGGGCCCCGATATCGGCAGACTTTACCTTGGCCCATTGGCTGTGGCATAGGGAGGGCGGTTTGCTGAGAGAGGCCACCTAGCTAGCTCTGGTGCTGTTTGTAGTAGTGTTGTATATTGACATTTCTCCTACAATTGTGTTTGGTTCTAAAGGCATTACTGAATGCTATTGTTGCTCTTCTGTTGTTCAGCCAAACCTGCTTTCCCTTTTGTTGTTTTAATAAAGCCCATTTTGAAGCCATAGGTGTGTTGTGAGTTTGGGTTTAGCCAGGGTGGGTCATCGCTGGGGGAAGACAAAAAAAGGATCCATCTATCAAGCGGCCCTTCTGGGGGAGCTCTACACAAAGGAGTTCATTTAGAAATGTTCCACCCGGTGTTCTATCGAAAGCTCCAACTTGTCGAAATCTCCAACTACCTCACTGCCGGGTACTTGCAAGTTGGAGATTTCGACCAGACGGCGTTAGACTGCAAAACACAAAGACTGGCTGAGCTCTGTACAGCTGCATTTTAACAATATTCAGCAGTTGGCAAACTCGATGAGTATTCTGAAAACGCCATGCGCGCATGCGCACCGCAACGGTACAGAGCTCCAGTCTTTCTGAGCACCGGAAGTGATGTAGATGGAGATGAGGATAGGAATTTCCTATACCTCGGAGCACTAGTGCCGTATGAATGGCATCCACCCGGCCTTACTTTTATAAATTAACCCCATGATATCTGTAAATCATTGCCTGTGTGATTTGCAATGAGTGTATCACTGCATAAGATCCAAATGCTTCACAAAGCACATCAGAAGAGATGCCTGTGTCCATAGACCCTTATGCATTGTCCCATCCCCGGTTCCGCCGGGGACCCACGGTACAATTAATCAGCCGCTGAGTATACTTTAATAGGGCAAATGTATACAATTTTCTTCCCTACGTTACCCTGCATTCACTAGCCACCTGCTGTCACCTCCCTCCAGTATTCCCGGTATTATAATAATTGGTCCTATATCCTCCAGTCTTGCTATAATATCGCTGCCTCTGCTGATGTCTGCTCCCTATGCAGTCCCGTACATCTGTGTACAGTGTTCACCGGGGACACGTTTCCTGGTTACATCACCACCGTTTGTGTGCCAACCGCGACATGGGAGGCTGAGAGGAAGCCTAATTGGAGATGAGGGTGGGGAATGTGAAGCAAGAGGACACAATTGCTTTGTCTCCACGCCCTGAGCTCTGGTGAAAGAGGAGAAAGTGTATCCAAACACGCTAATCCTTCCACGCGCGATTCAAACTGCCTGCTGCCCAAAATGCTCCCTGAGCTACTTTTGTCGTGCTGATCAGCGCATTTCCCATATAGATTTCAATGGAAAGGCACTGATTAGCACGTTTTTGGGCGTTTTTAATTGCGTTTCAGCGCTGAAACACAATTAAAAGCGCCCAAAACACCCTTTCAAATATCGCGTGGAAACGGAGCTGAAACGCTGCCGCCATGGTGTGAATGGGGCCTAAAGGAGATTGTACATTCAGACTGCAATTGCAAGGTCAGCTTAATGGCAACTGTACAATCAGATTTCAACATGTATGGTCAGGTTAACCCAAAGCGGTAACATAAACCACAAACCACATGGTGACACACTTCTGTCATCCACTTCTGTGTGTCACCATGTGGTGTCAGCATGTGGTTTGTGTTACCATTATGGGTTAACCTGACCATACGTGGTCTTAAAGTTCTAAACCCCAAAATCTATTTTTCAGTATTTTTGGTATCATGCTTCACAGTTTCCTTAAAGTGGAATGATGCTCACCTCCCCTCCAGCGATCTGTAAGCCCCCTCGTCAGATCTTCTGCTCCTGGGATCCTTGATCATCTTGATTGGCAGTGCTGGGATGAATGAACTCTCACATGGGCAGGAACCTCATGTAAAATTCCACTATAAGCACATCGTTTTTGGGAAGTATCATGGTTGTTGGCCCATGATGAAAAGCCCATGGGTCATTCAAAGAGTGCGCAAGGCAGGCTGACAACTGCTGCTAACTGAGAGGCAGCAGTTTAGTGTTGTCATCCTGAAACAGGAAGGGGCCTGTTTATAAACAATTCACAGAACCATTGCAAATATCTGTTAACATTCATTCTTTGTGAATAGAGACAAAAATGAATGTTCTTAGTATTTTTTCTTTACAGGTTGAAAGTAATGTAATACTGCAATATGGCCACTAGATGGAGCTGAAGATCATAGAAGATACATTTATTTCATATGCTCCTCAGCGCTATCTAGTGGCCGTAATGTGGTATTACATTACATTAGACCAGAAAAGAAAATGTGCTAAAGAATGTTCATTTTTGCCTCTATTTGCACAGAATGAATGTTCACTGAGATTTGCAGGGTGAATGGCTCTGTGAATTGTTTATAAATTACGGACAGGATCCTCAGGTAAGAGAAAGATTCACAAAAAACTATTTCCTTAGGCCTCATTCAGATGGGGCGGATAGTTTGCAGCGTTCAGAGTCAGAAATTCTGTCCATGTTTAGAGATATCACCAGCACATAAAGAGCTAACCATTAATTTGCCACCTTAACACAAAGCAACTTTTTTTGGGAGCCAATGGGGATCCGTTCCGCATGTTGACGCACTTGCCAGAATAACACACCTCTACACTCACGCCTTGATCTGAGTGGTCCCTCAGTAGTCATTCTTGGAGCTGTGCAAATACAACACTACGATGTGCAGCCTGCATGCAATGTTGACAGCTTACCCCACCACCACTCACATATCCGTACAAGTGGGCGGGGTCTTCTTCGGCTGGGCCAGTATTCCCAATGAGAAAGATCCTTCCCACTTGTCTGTGACTTAGGGCACTGTTGCCGGTATAGTTAAGCCCCGGATGCATGAACAACAACGCCAGTGTCAGCTGACAACAAAAATGTCTGCACGCCTGCAACAGTCACTATGTAATGTGTAGAAGACGGCCCGGCACTGCCCAGTGCTACCTTTTGGTGTTTCGCTCATTTGGACAGTTACACATTAACCGTGACACTTCCAAAATACACTAAAAAGTTAATGACTGGAAGATCCAAGTACCTCATCTACCCCTCCTCTCTCTGCATTATGATTATTTTTATATCTCTGCTGAGGTTTTCGGTTAAGTTCAGAGCAGGACAATCAGAGCTGCACTGACGCCGATGATACGCTTCGCTGGATCCTGTGCCTGACTGCAGTGTGGACCCGAGTCGCTGATCACTGCCAGCAGTGTCTTCATTTCCGGTAGTCATGCCCCGGACAGGAAGATGAAATAAGATCTATACAGCCTGGAATGACTCCAATATGCTGCCGTGTGTAGACAGGACAGGAAGTGTGTTACTGGCAGGAAGAAAAGCCTGAATAAAGAAAACTAATGCAGCTGCCACATCTGTGGTCGGATAAGCTGCCGACACTTTCGTTCTTGGGCTTAGATGCCCTTTAATTATTGTTTAGAGAATAATTATATAACAGGAGTGTCATTTAGGTGTGCTCCGGGGTTCTCCTTTAGGGCCCATTTACATTTCCACAAAGTGGTAAAACGTGTAACATATACTACGATGACTTTATTGTTAAACGCACCTGCATTGTACAACGCCATATCTAGTGATGTCTGTGGAGGTTCTCATTCATCCAGGTCACGGTATACCTGTAAAAGACAAATCAAGGCAACTGGACTTGCTGTATTTTTCTTGAAGATCATCCGACCAGCTTTCTCAATTCAGAATGGCTTGTATTTATTGGTTTAATAACACCTGCTAGCTCCAATCATATCGATGCAATCAACAACTTACCCCCATGAGATCTCTGACCCTATGCTGGTTATGACAAACATATAATGTTGATTGGAGCAACGTTCACCATATTTATTCCCAGCAAATATTTTGTACAAGTCATTCCGAATTGAGAAGGCTAGCTGAATGACCAGCGAAACATCTTCAAGAAAAATACAGCACATCCAGTTGTCTTGGTTTATCTTTTACAGACATAACTAGTGATGTGTGTTGGCTTGGTGCGGACAGAGTCGCCCAAAACTGTCAGTAACACCCCCCTCCTGGCCCAGTTAGCTGTGGCTGGGGCATCCTTTGTTACATGTAGCTGCTGGGTGGAAAAAGCCCCGGCTGCATCTGATTGGGCCAGGGGAGGATGTATCACTGACAGTTTTGTGCGGGCTCCGGTGAGCTAGATTCGCCCCAAGCCCCTGCGCATCACTAACCACAATGCATGTCAATGCACTAGATTAGAAATTGTATCTTGTAATGCAATATGTGCATACAACGCATGCAGGAGGATAGCCTTGCAGGGGCGTCCCGAGGGCGGGCGTCACCCGGAGCGGAGACCGGGTGACACCCCGCCGTGACGTCATCACGCGGTGATGTCATCACACATGCGCCGTCATCTTATTAACTCCTGCCGGCGTTAATATGGCATCTTGGTGATGGACTCCGACGGGACGTTCACCAGGCGGGATGAGGCATGCTGGATCCCCTCCTCTCTCCTGACACTGTCGGGCTCTCGGTCAATGACCTAAATAATAATAAATGTGCATAATTATTTACATCCTTGACCTTAGTGTCTATAGTACAGCAGCTGCAATAATATCCATTAGTTTACTAGATTGAATCCATAAGCGCAGATTTCCTATCTAGGTCAATGACCGACTGCCTAACTTTTCTGAGGGGGTGACTCCAAAATGACTGTCGGTCATTTTGGTGTCACCCCTCCAATGGTGGCACCTGGGTGCTGGCCGCACCCCAGAAACCCCCCCCCCTTGTGACGCTATTGTAGCCCTGTTATTCACTACTGCACCTCACTTGTTGCACACACTGAGTTCCTAACCTCCTGTACGTCTGCCTAGATACCATCATATCCCAGCACCTGGGGCCCTGTCTAATTTACTGCTGTGCAGTGGCTTGTGGGAAGATCATATAAAGAGATATTGAAGGTAGTTATACTAGCTGTATTTACAATAAATTCATATGTGCATATAAACCGTAACAATGAACTTCTCTTATTTCCTCTTTTTTTTGTCTCATCAGAATACCATTGAAAGTGTTTTGTTAAATCTGTTCCATAAGTGCAAAAAGATACCTGTTGCTCCCGGCAGAAATTCAATGAGCTGATAACTTCCTGTAGTAAGCTGACAATGCTGCTCTGAGATCTCATACAAAGTTATAACCCTTCTTCGAGGACTACGCAACACCCCCACCACTACCGCATGTTATGGAAAAAAGGAGAGGATGAGGTGTTCCGTAGTCCTGTCCTAGAGTGACAAAACTGCTTCTCCATCGGTACAGTTAGTGACCGTTCCCACCCTAGGACAAGAAGTGTGTTACTGTCAGAAAAAGGAGCTGAAAAAAGAAAATATATGCGGTCACCACATCTTTGACAAGCTGCAATATATATTAAGTTTCTACTCTTGGGTTTACGGAGACTAGATAATATGTAACTAACAGGGTTTTATTTTATCTCTGCCCGGGAAGGGGTGTTCTCCTTTAAATGTCCCACTGGTTGTTTTGAGTACACAGCTATTTTGGTCTGTTTTGGATTTTAGCTTCAGTACAATTTACAGCTGAGCATTTTGTAATGTTTTTTGTGTCAACAATCCGTTGTGCTTTGCCTCCCGCAGGCGTGTCCTTACTGCCACCGCTCAGTCCCAGGTCACAGCTTGGGCTGGAAGTCACTATCATAGTACTCCAGAGTGTGTGATCCCTTTGTTACAACATTCACTTGGCAGGACCGGGTGTATAAGGTGCCCAGATAAATTATACCCCTGTCCACCCAGAGTTACACAACCTTCTCTTCCTCTTGTAGTGATTTATACATGGCCTAGTTATAGTCATGGAAGTTTTGGCATGTTGTGTAGCTGCAATACAGATTGCACCATATCTGTGCTGGTTCTTCTTTTTTATCCAGGTCATAGATAAATGGATGGATGGTTGTTCCAGTTTCCCGAGAGGACTACTGGTTCGCAAGAGGCCATGGATAAATGGACGGATGGCTGTTGCAAATTCCAGAGAGGACAACAGACATCCCAACTCTCCCGGACGCTGCGGAAGTCTCCCTCTATAAGATAGCGGCTCCCGGCCGCTCCGGGAGAGAAACATTTTCTCCCGGAAAGGTTTACTCTGCTCGATCTAGCAGAGTAAACCTTTCCCTGTTGTCTGTTTTGTTCTTTTTTTATTCCGATATCGGAGCTGCCGGCCGCCGTCAGAGAAAAAAAAAAGACAGCATAGAAATGAATAGTTAGGCTCCTATTGGCTATTTAAATTTGCAATAGCCAATAGCGGACTAGTTATTGCACCCGCCCACTGCTGCTGTCAATCAGCAGAGGTGGACCTGAAGTTCTCCATCAGATCCTCCTCTGCTGATTGACAGCAGCAGAGGGTGGGTGCAATAGCCAGCTTGCTATTGCAAATTGAAATAGCCAATAGCAATCTAGCTATTCATTCCTATGCTGGGTTTTTTAAAAAATTATTATTCTGACGGCAGCAGCTGTCAGAATACTAAACAAAACCCCCAGCAGATAGCATGGGAAGCAACAACTTCTTTGCTATCTGCCATAATTTCTGGGTGATGCTCTCCCCCCCCTCCCCGCTGATGGCAGAGGTCACCTCCCTGAAATGACTTTTTTCAGGTTGGGATCCTTGGGACAGCTAGTTCGCAAGCGGCGTGAAGGAGGCCATCTACATCAAACTGGAACAACCATCCCTGAACAGAGGTGGGAACCTTCAACCCCATCTGTCCTCCACATATAATATCGTTTTAACGTCTCTACCTTGGTGTTTTGACAACAATTCACGCCTCTAGCCATGTGACTTAAAGGATCAACACTCTGTAGACTTTCTGACACCAAGGATGAGATTAAGCAGCGATATTGCAATATCAACTAAAGTGGAATCTTTCTTTAGCAAGGTGTCAATACAGGCAGAGTCATCGGAGTAACAAGGGCCTAACAGAGAAAACTGAGGTCACCCATTTCCTATGGCAGGTAAATCACAGAAGTGGCTTAATAAAATGCCAGATCCTTTGTCTGTGAAGGTTCTTGTTTATCCAGGTCTTGGTTTAGCTAGTATTCCCCAGGTTATTTGGGGACGCTGATATGTCATTACAACTGGGCGGAGCCAGCTGTGAGATCACGGATGGCTCCGCCCAGCTGTAATTTGCTGGGTGAAAGTCGGCCTTTGGCAGACCATTCGCCCCGCTTCGGCTGTCACTTCGGCTCAGTAGAGCCACAGCATATGCCTTCGGCTCGGCCGAGCCACTCGGCCGCCTTCAGCTGCTATACGGGCTATTGTGAATAGCCTGTACAGCAGCCCTTTGGTTTGACTGAACCGAAGGGCTTCGGCGGTCGAAGAGAGCCAAAAGATGAGCCGAAGCTACGGCTGGATCCTTCGGCTCCTACGTGAATAACCCCCTTCAGTTCCATTGAGTGCGAGGAATATTCTCTCAACGTTTATATCCACACAGATAGCGAGACACCTTAGGCCAGGGGTGTCCAAATTCCGGCCCTCCAGCTGTGGTGAAACTACAAATCCCATGATGCATCTCTCTCCGGGAGTCATGTCTGTGGCTGTGAGAATCTTGCAATGCCTCATGGGATTTGTAGCTCCACCACAGCTGGAGGGCCGGAGTTTGGACACCCCTGCGTTAGTCCAATCACCATGGAATGTGTAGATGTTGATTGTCCAAGAACAGAATGGGAGATGGGAAAGTTGTGGAACCACCCTGATCTAGTTTCATAATCCCACCCGTGGTGTCAGGAAGTTGCACAGATGTTAATTCCTCTATTTACATGGATATTGGTGTGAATTGTTGTCCAATCGGCAGGGTAGACATGTTAAAACTGCCTTATATGTGGAAGACAGATAGCGTTGAATAGGGGCAGGGTCCTTTAACACCCTCTGTCTTCTAGTGCTTCTCGTCTTCCAGTACTGGGTATCTTCCTGACACTCATCGGAACTAAACAAGTGGCTTGGAGATTGTCTTCAACTTTACAGAACAAGCCCAGTTGAATGTGACTAACTACTACTAGCTATATCAAGACCTGGATGAAGGAGAAGCTTCACAGACATATAACTGAGAACAAAAGCACTTTTTCTGCACAGGCCTAACTAGAGAGGAATCAGGTTAGTACCTTCACAGTAGGAATGGTTGGGGAATGACGTAATATATGCAAATTTGTAACCAAGTACTTACCACATCTATGAGGGTAAGTTGTTCTGCTACATCCTGGGGTGGGTATGACAATAAAGAAGTACTATTTACAGAGGTTTCACAGTCTCCCTCTGCTGGTCGGGTTATGTGCCTCCAATCTGATGTAAGAAAAAGAAAATTAGGGTAAGGAACAATCCTAGAGTGTGCTCAGACTCTGCAAATAGCGGATCCTACCGTTCTGTGATGGGTCCTGCTCCCCCTCTTCTTCTAGATTTTTAATAAGGCGGAAGAGCTGACTGGATGTCTCTCGACAGTCCTTGCTTAGGTAGTGGGAGATGAATTGTAAACACTGTGGAGAGTCACGAAAGTCATGAGGGTGTCTCTCCAACCAGGTCTGAAGGAGACCACGGACCACCCTAAAAACGAAAGTGAGATCTTGTCTGATCTTATAGACAAAAATGGAGATCCTTGAATGGCATTTACATAGCTTTCACCCAACACTCCTTTCAATGTAATGTGCCTCATTTGCAGCCAAATCCCTCTGCCCTCCTCAGATGTCCCTCTTCTTGGTCTAACGTATAGACCTCTTTAAGAATGTATTATCAAACTGCCAGATGTGTTACTACACCTTTCCTCCAACCTCTAAAGAACATTTTAGTAGCTTAAAGGGTAAAAGACAGCCCAACGGGCTAAAATTATTTTCAGCATATGTGGACTTAGAGATGGAGATCTCAGTATGGGTCAATATGTGTCAATATGGACAAACTTCATGATCACCCATTTTGGAAACAGCTTACAGCATACCAAAGTAATTAGTAGCTGGAAAGGTAGTGTTACTCTGCGGCAATAATGTTACAAAATTAGATTTAGAAAATCCAATCACTGCTTTAAGAAACATTCATTTAAAACAAGGAGCCCATCAAATCTCTAAACACATGAATAAAAGCGCCAGTCCACCCACAGCTGATATTTCATTGTTTGTAGTAGATGCTGCAGTTCAATCAACTTATAATTTTTTACATCATTCAGAGACTATTTGTGAGTTCCCGGGTCTACAAGCCTGTTGTGCCCATTACGAGGGCTTCCCAAAATGTGAGGAGATGGGACACACAAAGGTGGCTGGGGACACCCAAGGTTGAATGGGGATAGAGCCATTAATGAAGCTCTTGCACCCTTAGTACACAATAAGAAACATACAGGGGAAATTTATCATTCTAGAGCAGTTGCCTATGGCAACCAATCAGCATCTCTCTTTATAGCTGTAAAGAATAAGTCAAGGCAACTGGACTGGCTGTATTTTTCTTGAAGACGTTTCACTGGTCATCCAACCAGCTTTCTCAGTTCAGAATGACTTATACAAAAATTATCTGGGAATAAATATGGTGAACGTCGCTCCAATCCACATAATATGTTAGTTGCAACCAGGTGTTGATTGCATTTGCATAATTGGAGCTAGGAGGTGTTAGTAACCTGCCCAGAGAGAGGTGTTAAAATCTCTCTTTAGTTTGCTCAGTTGAGATTTGAAAATTGGACAGAGAAGCTGATTGGTTGCAATGCAAATCTGAACCAGATTTGGTAAATTCCGCCCTCAGTATTCATTTCACTGAAAGAGATGTAAACGTTCTGTAAAATTGGGTTTATTTTGCCATCATACATAGAAATAGAGCACATTGTAGTTCCTTTTATTTGTAGGAATGAAGGACCCCACTGTGAGGTCATATAAAACAGCTGTTGGTTGGGATGCATGGCCTTTCCTTCTACAGAAATATTACAATGTATTATATAGATCATTGAATTCCACAGAATGTTTCCTATTTCCTAGAATGAGTCGTACATGGATCTAGTTAGAGGAGGCCACCAGACACTGCAAGGAACATGATGTGCTCCAAGTATGTCAGTCTGTGGTTCACTGATAAGATAAAGTCAGTTTCCTGGTTAGTACAGTTGTTCAGGAACAGTGTGAGTGCAGCATAGGACCGGTATGGGACTGAGCTATCCCCAGTGTTCCAATCTTCCTTTCAAGAAATCCTGACAGTAGTGGGACGGTAAAAGGGTTCCCTTTTGTACATACAGTATCAGTGGCGTAACGATCGCCATAGCGACCCAGGCGGCTGCTATGGGGCCTGGGCACAGGGGGGCCCGGCCAGGGCATCCCTCTGATGCCGTGCGGGTCGCCTGGGTCGCTATGGCATATCAGGGTACTGGCTGTCAAGAGGAACGTGCCTCTGTTAGATCACTGATAACCTGTCAGTGATATGTGCAGCAGCGCGTTCTTCCTCACATCCGCCGCTGAGCTGTGTCAGTGGCAGCCAGCAGCTGCTGCAGAAGAGACTGGACCCGGCGTTTGCAGCGAAGGAGGAGGCAGGGCCTGGCACGGCGACCTAAGAGCAGGAGAGGCCAGTGATATAAGAGGAGGCGGGGCCCATCGATAGAGGAGAAGACAGGGCCAGGCGATGAAAGAGGAGGCGGGGCCCGTGGACAGAAGAGGAGGCGGGGCCCGGCGACCACGGAGGTGGACCGCGCTGACAGGTAAGAGATGTGCAGCCCACCTTAGACCCTGCAGAGCCCGTCATAGAGAGTCTATGGCATCCTAACCAACCCGCCCCCCACAAAACACCCCCCTACCCACCCCTGCCATGCATACGCCTATACGACAGGAGCGGAGCAACACTGTGCAATACCAATCACACAGTAAACAGAAGCGTGGCGTTATCTTTTGCGTGCTCAAGGGCAGGGCCGGTGCAAGAATTATTGTGTACACAGGTGTAGGTGCATATTTCTGCTGTCAGTGCTGAAATGCAAGGCCAGTGGTAGGAGTTTTGCAGCACAGGACCTGCTTTGGGCCCAACAACAATGATTGGGCCCTGGGCAGCTGCCCCTTTTGCCCTGCGTTAAAGACGGCCATGGTGGTATCCATACATTTATTGTAACAAAGGATTGAAAATAAGTGGACTGCATCTCAGGCTGGCTTTATTGATATAGCAGTAGGAAAGGTCGGAGATATTTACTACCATGTCTGGCTTTTGTACTTTAAGGGACCCTTTCTGAAAATATATACTGAGCCCGCCATTGTTAAAAAAAAAGTTGGATACCTGTGGCTGACCCTCTGGTTTATTTGTATGGTGAGTCACTGCTGCAGGACAGGCATGCAGATCTCCATTCCCCTCGCCTCCTAGTACTCCCAGTTCCTTCCCTGAACCTACCCCTGAAGCTATTGTTTTTTTAAAATCCCAGATGTATATGTATATATATTGTGGCAGGTCATGGCAATGTCACGGTGTAGTAAGGCATCTTTGGCACCCAGGACTCTCAGCCAGAGGGGCTGAGAGGGTCCAGAATGCCAGAGTGTAAACCATTTTATGAGGAAGAACCTGGCTTTTCAGATTCTTCCGGAGTTCCTGAATTATATCTGGGATCCGGAGCTCTGTAGATTTCTTAGAGCTCTGGGTGGGATGGAATCTCCAGTCCTGGGACCAGGTGTTGCCAATGACCAGCCTGGGCTGATCAGGTGGCTGAGAGCAGCCTCATTAGGAAGCCAGCCCAGAGCTCAGGGGAGACAGGACTATTAATGCTTTCTTTACTTTAACCAATAACTAAAAAAATATAAATCAATCTAAACGTACTCTTCTAAAGCCAGACCAAAAATAGATGGATGCCTGCTGGTTGCTATGGGTTATTGTAATTAAGAAGTCTGTTGGGTGAGGGTGCAAGCATGGCAGAAGCAAAGGGCTCCAGGTGGTTGGTAAATCAAACACACCCAATAATGTGAATAAATGAATTTGGAAATTACAGCTTTCCATGATAGATTGCACAAATGGTGAAATCAGCTTTACTGCAGGAGGTTTAGGTGACCTATATTGACACCAATAACACTAACCTCTGCACAGATGCCGTGTCTGGAATGGGGCTCCCAGGAGATGCCGATTCCTTGTCGACTAATCTTTCCAAGCGTCTGTGTGCAAAAAAGAGGTCAGATATATAAGATAACACACTTTTATCCACAGTCATCATAAATGGTACACACCAATCAAAGTTGGAAATGTAGCCTGGCTGTACCTAGGGGATCTAGGAGACCTGGAAATACTTCAATCCACCAATCCACTTCAGTGCGGGGAAACCTCAGGTTGTGGATAATCAGAGTTCTGAGGGCACCTAATCCTGAACAGAAATGATCTAACTATACAATTATGCATGACCCCAAAAGTTACAAATAAGTCATTTATATCCCCGCTCCACCCAGCTAAACACTAAAGGAAACATAAGAGGGCACCAAAGAACAGTTGGACAGGCAATGTTTCCCTTTTTTTGGCCCAGCTTCTTCCAGCAGGAAGCTCTAGTTGACTAGACATTTATGTTTATGCGGGGGAAGAGAGAATGGGGTCAGCAAACCCAGATCGGGGGAAGAAAGAATGGGGTCAGCAAACCCAGATAGTTCCATGACTAACTTATCTAGGGGGGGGGACAATAGCAATTAGGGACGGTCTCCTGAACAGTCCTATTGCTTTGTCCCAAGAGAACAGATGTCCAGGACTTTAGAGACATTAGATCAGGGGTGCCCATTAGGTAGATCGTGATCTACCAGTAGCTATCAAAGCTGATGCTGGTAGATCACGAAGGGTGTGAATGGCGGCCCCTTTATTCCATTTTGGTATATTTATTTAGCTGTGCACACATGATTACCTATTAGCCTGAGTCTGGTGAGCCAAGCTCCCGACACCTTTCTGGTGGATACTGGTGGTTGAAGTGCTTTGTATTACATCAAAGAATATTAGTTTACACAGCCTGTTGCACTACACTGTCTGCAAAATACAGCAAGGTGAGCCAGGAGAGAGCGTGAGGAGGGACAGCTAGGAGAGCAAAGAGAGCCAGCCAGGAGAGCAAGGAGAGACAGCCGGAAAGAGAGGAGAGCCAGCCAGGAAAGAGAGGAGAGACAGCCAGGAGGATGAGCAAAAAGAGACAGCCAGGAGAGAGAGCAAGGACAGACAGCCAAGAGAGCGAGGAGAGACAGCCAGGTGAGAGAGAGCAAGGGAGGGTTTTTTTTTTGTTGGTAGATCTCATGTAGCTCGTCATTTGAAAAGTAGATCTTAACACAAAAATTGTGGGAACCCCTGCATTAGATCATCACGCAATCTGTCTCAATTTGAGAGAACAGGAGACCAACGTTTAATGCCTACCAGCAGATGTGTAAGTGGTATCCTGAAAAGGGAGACAAAGAAGGACAGGATAGAGTCTCAGGTGAGAGGAGACAGAAGGAAGTTCTCAGAGATGGAGAGGGGATCACACCTGTCCAGCAGCAGCTCCAGGACCTTTTCAGCAGAGGTAAAGGCACGGTAGGTACTGAGAAAAGTGGGCACATAGCCAGGATCTGTGCCCTGGTATTCCACCAATAGATTCTCTACCAGCTTCTGCGGCGTCCCTGCACGTAGGCTGCGCACCTTACACGTCTTATAATGAACATAGCCTGGAGAACCAGGGGTGACCTGAGGACAATATAAGGAAGTTATATGGGACAATAAGAAGATTTAAAAGTAGACAGAGAACATGCACCAATCAACAGGATAGCTCCAACCAGGAAATACGTGTGCATGGCCAAATCTGTTAAAGAGCACCTGTTGAGTTGATCAGTCCATCATACTGGTATGAGGAATAATGAGGGACAAGACAGAGGAGGCAAAGGATGATATATGAAGCAGCGTATTTTATTACCAGGAAGTCTCCAGAGGGTCTTTCTGTTCTCAACCGCCTCAGTGTCACACCATAGACTGCCCCATCTTCCACCTCTTCCCCCCACTCCTGCAATGGATTCTGGAAAGAGAATAAAATGAAAATAATAATGAAAAACAGAAATAAAGAAGAGCTATATTATAATATGGAGTCTTTCCACCTGTGGTCCATGTACCATGTAATGCTGGATCAATCAGGGGTACATCTTCCAGATTTTAAGAAATCAACAGCAAGAGTCATTGACTCATTGTCTTATAACTCTTCCATGTGGCACACTCTCTGTTCCATTCATGAAAAGTTCTAAGATCCAAAATATTTGCTATGTATTTGGGGTCCGTGTTGACCCCCGGTCATCTTCTCCTGAACACAGTTCAAACTTTCCTTCAAGATATCATTGCTGAAGAGAAGAAAGGACTCTTTTGCCTCACGGAGGGGGCAGAAGAACAGATAATGTAATCAAACCTCTTCTGATTGCCTGTTGGCTCCTCAAGCTGAACTATGCCTATTGCCAATAAAAGTTCCTGAAAGGAAGGGACATTCCCTGACAGGGGACTCACTCTTCCTAAATTATTCAGTAGACTATTACGCAGGTTATAACAAAAACATGAAATACGTAAGTCTGTGTATAGGGCGGATTTACTCTCTCTGCTGCCCCAAGGCCAGGTTCTTCAATGTGCCCCCCTCCTGGCCAAACCCCCCCAATGGAGAATGGCAGACCTGCAGGCTGCATGAAAGTGATCTAAAACAAGTGGTGGCTTCCCTGCTGTACAGTTAGCTCGGCTTGCCCAAAGCAGGGCTCTGTAGAAAACAACTAGCCGCCCGGCGCCCAGAACTGCGTGTCCAGGGCATCATGAGATAGGAATTCCACACCCCTGCTGCCCCTTTACTCCCTGCTGCCCCAAGGCCGATGCCTTGGTTGGCCTTCTGGGCAATCCGGCCCTGTTTATGTATGGACCGTTTCAAATTCACTAGTTGGTTCTTCTACTTGTACTGAGAATAAAGGGCCCACATACATGGGATGGTCGTTGCCTGATCTTGTTGGTTACCAATGGATTGAAAGACGATGTGGGCATTGCGTGATTTCACCTGACACCCCCCTGGCTGACTCTTTCCAGAGGAAGAATCTGTTGGCCGGGCTATGTTCCTTGGATGTTCCTGGCTCGCTGGTATTTAGACATGTGCGATTAATTATGTTCCGAATCAAAATTCGTATGAATTTTCACGAGATTTGGACATTTGGACACATCCGAATTTCCGAATCCCAATGCATCTCTATGCTTCCGAATCCGAATTTCCGTTTCCTTGGTGCCTCCTAAAGCCAAAATAGACACAAAAAATCGTCCAAATTTTCATTCGGAACAAACAAATTGCACATGTCTAATTGTCAGGAGCCCCCGGCTATGGCACAGACCTGCCACCATTTGTGGTATAGACACAAAGGACTATTTGTACATAAATATCTTCACATTCCAGAATTGGGGACAGACCCCGGCATACAGGTTAGCCCAGGACCCCTCCTCTAATACGGGTCACGTTACAGGTGAATAACTAGTTAATTCTCCACATCTCTCCCAAACTAAAGTTGCCCGTCCGGTTCTGCCAGCTTCCCCTCCCCCTCGCTGTCACTTTCTCTGCCTGTTCCATGAACTCGCCAATCTCCGATCAGCTAAAAAGTCTGGCACTTCTACCGTAACTGTGCACAAGGGTGACAACTGCTTCTGGGTCCCAGGTAGACTTCTAGGCCTGGGAAACATTGTTTTTAAAAAGCTTTGGTCCCTGGAAATGGGTTCTGTGGGCCAGGCAAACAGCTAAATACACAGATGAAAAACACATAAAAGAGATGTTTTACCTGCCGAAGGATTTATATTTTCTGTACATCCAGTCCTGAGATTGAAACATCTCTGCCACACCGCACAGCCAGGTCATTGACACCACTTGGTGTGGCGGGGGGAAGGTCATCGGCCCTCTCTAAGCTACAAAACACTGGCACAGAGCTTACAAAAGGCTCTCCATTAGGACTCCGGCACGCGATCAAGGCGGTGGGAAAGCCCAGGCAAGGTATCTATCAGCATTAGAACAGATAGACTATCAAGAGAACCTGTCACTTTTGCCCATCCTACAAAAAATTGGGTTTCCCTATAAAATGTTTATGGCAGGTCACAATGTGAGAGGTTGCAACAGCGACAGACCTTTGTCAGAAGCTGGATACAACGTGCGCGTTGTATCCAGCAACTGACAGGTTATGCAGAATGTCCTAAACAGGAAGGGGTGGGGCAAATTTAGATGGGGGGGTGTCCGAGTTTTGTCTTGCCTAGGGCAGCACAAAATCAAAATACACCACTGCACTTCAAGTCGCATCAAAATTCATCTGACAGGGGAAATTCCCCCATCTGCACCATTAGATGGGGCTAAACGAGATAAATTCTAAGCGTGTACTGTATGGTCAGCCTAACATGTTTGGTGGTGAGCTTTATACTTAATCATTACTCAGCATGTATGCACTTGGTATGAAAAGTATGTCTGATGCTAAGTTCACAGCAGTGGCATGTGTCTGCCCTCTAGGACATGTCTACCCACTGGGAGGTGTCTAACCAATAGGAGTTGTCTACCCATTGGGAGAAATCTGCTCACTAGGACCTGTCTACCCACTAGGACCTGTCTACCCACTAGGAGATGTCTACCCACTGGGAGGTGTCTAACCAATAGGAGTTGTCTACCCATTGGGAGAAATCTGCTCACTAGGACCTGTCTACCCACTAGGACATGTCTACCCACTGGGAGGAATCTGCTCACTAGGAGCTGTCTAACCACTGGGAGGTGTCTGCTCACTAGGACCTGTCTAACCACTGGGAGGAATCTGCTCACTAGGACCTGTCTAACCACTGGGAGGAATCTGCTCACTAAGACCTGTCTAACCACTGGGAGGAATCTGCTCACTAGGAGCTGTCTAACCACTGGGAGGTGTCTGCTCACTAGGACCTGTCTAACCACTGGGAGGTGTCTGCTCACTAGGAGCTGTCTAACCACTGGGAGGTGTCTGCTCACTAGGACCTGTCTAACCACTGGGAGGTATCTGCCCACCAGGAGCTGTCTACCCACTGAAGTGTGTCTGTCCACCAGGACCTGTCAACAACTGGGGAAGGGGGGGGGGGGGGGGACGAAGGCCCAGC